GTGCACATAAGGTGTTTGTTAAAATTCCTAAGAGAAACGGATTTACTAAAACAAGCGGAGAATAGAGTCTACCAATAAAACGTTAAAAGTAGGAAAGTATGAGATTGAAAAGTTCAATGGGAAGAATGATTTTTTCTATTGGAGGATGCAAATAAAAAAACTCGTTGATTTCGCAGAAATTGTACAAGTCTTTGGTAGGAAAAGAAAAGAAGCACAAAGATATGTTTGATGATGATTGGGAAGAGTTAGATCTCGAAGCACGAGCATCGATTATCCTATGTCTTGAGAGGGATGTAGCTTTCTTGGTGGATGGAGAGGAAACGACTGCGGATGTGTGGTCAAAATTAGAGAGTACCTTCATAACAAAAAGTCTATCAAATCAGATCTACTTAAAATCCAAATTGTATACTTGCAAAATGGAGGAAGGATCATCAATCCGGGAATACATCAACAAGTTAGATAGGATCATATCGAATTTGAAGGACATCGATGTGATAGTAGAAGACGAGGATCAAGCACTTCTGCTACTTCTTTCTTTACCGAAATCTTATGAGAGCCTAGTACAAACATTGATGCTTGTAGGTAACAATTTGAAGATGGATAAGACTAGAACGGTGGTTCTCGTGGATGATCTTCGAAAAATTGTAACTAGTGACATGACTACTAATGGTAATAAGGAGCAGGCACAGGGACTATTTGTAAGAAGAAGGAGCAATAAGCGAGGAAAAGGCAATGGAGGAAAGTCTAGATCGAAATCGAGACCTCTTATAGGAAGACCGTATTTCAAATATGATGAGCTTGGGTATTTTAAAGTTGACTGTTCTAACAAGAGAATAGGTGGGAAGAAGAACAACAATAAAATCGAGAGAAGAGAAGGCAAATAAGAGGCGAGTTATGTCTCGAAAGAAGGGAGCGAAAAAGAATGTTATACCGTTACGTGTGGTGAAGATATCTCCGATAAGTGGATTCTTGATTCGGGTTGCTCTTACCATATGTGTCCAAATAAGAAGTGATTTACTACCTATAGGAATATTAATGGTGGAACCATATTGATGGGGAATAACCATGATTGTAAAATGGTGGGGCTTGATGATATCAAAATCAAGATGCATGATGGAGTGGTCAGAACCCTGATGGATGTGAGTCATGTCCCTGACTTATGGAAAAATCTTATCTCAGTTGTTGCTTTGGACTCTTGTTGCTCAAGATAGTTATAGAGAATGGAGTGAAGAAGGTTATTCGAGGTTCCCTGGTAGTGATGAAGGGCATTCATCACAGTAACCTATATACTCCTTTGGGTACGACAGTAACAGGAGATACAACGGTTAGAGCTGATGGAAGTGGTAGAGACCCATGTGAGCACACTCGGTTATGTCATAAGCGGTTTGGGCACATGTCAGAAAAGGATCTAGATCTGCTTGGTAAGGAAAGTTTGCTAAAGAACATGAAGAAACTTTGCATGGATTTCTGCGAGGATTGTGTGTACAGAGAGGCATACAGGGTCTAGTTCTTGAAAAGAAAGCACAAGAATATAGGTATATTAGACTATGTGCATAAAGATGTTTGGGGTTCGGCTCTGACAACTTCCAAGGGCGGTTCCAGGTATTTTGTCTCGTTTATAGATGATCATTCCAAGTATGCTTGAGTTTATTTTCTTAAGCATAAGAATGAGGTATTCGAGATATTTAAGAAATGGAAAGAAATGGTTGAGAACAGAACAGGCAGAAAATTAAAGACACTAAGATCTGAAAATGGTACAGAGTATACATATGATACTTTTAAAAAGTTCTGTGATCGGGAGGATATTGCTCGACACTGGACAGTCAGGTCTATACCACAATAGAATAGAGTTGTAGAGAGACTGAACTATACATTGCAGGAGAAAACAATGAGTATACGATCATATATTGGTTTGGGCAAAGAATGATGGGCAAAAGTGTTTGCTACAGCTTGTTACATAGTGAATCGTTCTCCATATTCGATATTGGATAGTGATGTACCCTATCGGGTATGGTAAGTGGAGCATGCAAATTATGATAAACTCAGAATTTTTTGATATACCACATACTATCACGTCAACAAGGGAAAACTTGACACGAGGGCCAAGAATGCAATATTCTTAGGGTATGTAATGGGCATAAAAGACTATCGCCTTTGGTGTATAGAAGATTCCAAGTTCGTGATCAGCAAAAATATTACCTTTGATGAAAAATCCATGATAGCTTTATCAAAATCTAGGACGCCCGAGGATGATGGTGTTGAGACTGTTGGGACTTTAAAATCACAGTGATTGAGATAGAACCTAAAGACCAATCGGGTTCTAGTCGTGTTCTAGGGGAGAATCATGAAGACACTCAGGAAGGGATTGATGATGAGTTTGAATAGGAGGAGGTTCAGCAAGAACATGTACAAGCACTACAATAACAGCAGCTCGAAGACAGTTTGGCTTCTACTAGGACAAGGCGAACATACAAGCAGGTTCAGAAGTTGGGGTCAAACTAGCCTTTGAAGCACTATGAGCGGGTAATTTAGTTGAGTACGCACTCTCAGTGGAGGATGATAAGCCGGTCACCTTCAAAGAAGTTATTCGGGACAGGGATAGTGAGAGTTGGTTGGCTACGATGGAGAAAGAGATAGAATCTCTCCGGAAGAACCAAACATGGGAGGTAGTCCCATTGCCCGTAGAGAGGAAAGTTATTAGTTATACGTGGGTGTACAAGAGAAAGGAGGATCCTTCCGAGCTTGGCGGTACAAGGTATAAGGCTAGACTAGTAGCTAAGGGGTTTGCACAAAAAGAGGATGTGGATTACAATGAGATCTTTTCTCCGGTTGTGAAACACACTTCTATGCAAGTGCTATTGAGTATTGTTGCTCATGGTGATCTTAAGCTAGAACAACTCGATGTCAAAACGACATTCTTGCACGGAGACTTGAAGGAGGAAATCTAGATGCATCAGCCTGAGGGTTACAATGTTGAGGATAATGAGCATCATGTATGTCGCTTGAGGAAATCACTTTATGGATTGAAATAATCTCTTCGGCAGTAGTACAAGCAATTTGACTCATTCATGCTAAAGCATGGGTTCCAGAAGTGATTATGACTGTTGTGTCTATATTCGGAAGCTTTGTGGAGGTGATTATATCTATCTTCTTTTGTATGTAGATGACATGCTTATTGCTTCGAGAAGCAAGATGGAGATAGATAAGTTGAAATCTTAACTTGGTAAAGAGTCCGAGATGAAGGACATAGACGCTGCTAAGAAAATACCGTGTATGAAGATTAGAAAAGAACGACAAATCGGCGATTGTTCTTGAGTCAGAAGGGCTACATTGAGTGGATTATCACAAGGTTTGGGATGCAAAGTGCTAAGTCAGTGGTGACTCCATTGGCTCCATATTTCAGGCTCTCAAGTAAACAATCTTCCACTACAGCAGAAGAGAAGGCACACATGGAACGTGTACCTTATGTTAGTACAGTTGGTAGTTTTATGTACGCAATGGTGTGTATACGTTCAGATATTTCACAGGCGGTCAGTGTTGTCAGTAGGTTCATGACGAATCTGAAAAAGACGCATTGAGAAGCAGTGAAATAGGTCCTGAGGTACTTGAAGAGTACCATTGATACGGGTCTGTATTTTGATGGAGATACATGTCAGATTGATGGCTTTGTAGACTTAGATTATGCGGGTGGTCTAGACAGGCGGTGATCTACTACTGGTTATGTGTTTAGAATACATGATGCTCCAGTTAATTGGTGATCGATGTTATAGGCTACAGTGGTACTTTCTAACAGAGGTTGAGTATATGGCCATGACAGAGGGAGTGAAGGAAATATTGTGGTTGTGGAGTCTTCTAGATGATTTGGGGGTTGAGCGGGATTGTGCGAACTTGTGGTGCGATAGACAGAGTGCGATTTATTTTGCTAAGAATTAAGTTCATCATGCTCGTAACAAGCATATCGACATCAGGTATCATTTTGTGTGGAATGTCATAGAGGAAGGTGATATTTCTCTCATGAAGGTGCACACAAATGAGAATCCCATAGACATGTTGACCAAGTTGGTGACATGTAGCAAGTTTTAGTATTGCTTGGACTTACTTCATATCAGCCCGTGCTGATCTTCCCAAGAGGGCATGGCCCTTCGGGGTGGTGATGGGGTAAGGTGGAGACAAGACTATATGGAGAATAATGTTCAGAACTATGGTTAGCTTGGTCCCGATTAGAGGGTACGTAGACAGCCATGGTATAATGGTGCAACTGGTTTGGCATCTGGTTTTAGACTGTTTGACATTTTAGATCTCTCTGGTGATGTTCGCGGTGTTTCTTCTGGTGTTCGTTCAACATTTGAGGTTTATCAAATGATGTACGAGGTGAAGAATTGTGAATGTGAACAGTGTAAGAAGTGAATAGTGGGAACGTGAATAGTGTCTCGGTACTGTTCACCCGAGGCAGTGAACAGTTTCTTAGCACTGTTCACCCGAGGCCGTGAACAATGTCTCGAGAGTGGGTTTTGGCTTTTTCAGATCGGTTTTGGCCATGTTTTCTTGGTATAAATAGGAACTTCGTTCCTAGGGTTTTGTACAGTGATTTTTTAGAGAAAATGAGAGTTTTTTCAGATCTGAAAGGTGAGATCTTGAGGAGAGAAAAAGAGAGAGAACTTGGAGGGATTGTATAAAGAGATCATCTTTCTTGGGTAAAATCGAAGCCTCATCTCTTTGGGACGAGCTTGTGGGTTGTACAAGTCGTTGGTGTTCTCTATCATAGTGGAATCTCCATTCACCTCTCCCCGTGGACGTAGACAAGTTTGCCGAACCACGCAAATCTTGTGTCTCGCTTATTGTATTGGCTATTGCTTGTATTGGTTGTTTCCCTCTATATTCAGACCTCTATCTAATATTGAAAATGGTGTATATCTCACCTTGTTGAGATATTCACTTCTGTTCTTGTTTTTCGTTATTGAAACAGGAAATTTGAGATTGACTTGGGTTTTGTGAAAATAAAAGTCAGAGCTTTCTCTCAAATTGATTCGCTTCCGCGACGAGGTGGGCGTGCCGGCCCCTACAAAAAGGTTTGTGGAAGCCTGTCTAGAAGAGACAATCGTTGTTTATGTAGATCATCTTCTCACAAAGTTTAGCTCCTCATTAATTCCTCGTGTATAATTTGCAACCTAATAGTCAAACCTCATTACCCTGAGATAGTCTTTTGTGCTGTATTAAAGTCTCAAAACACACTCTCTCTTTTTGTAGAGAAATTACATTAAGGAGGAAATCATTGAGCGCATGAGACTTGATGAAGAGGTATTGCTGGATTTCTTCGGGGAGTATATCAGTGTAAATGTAAGTATTGTTGTATTCGATATTTATCTCTTCAATTTATGGTTGTTGTATCTCCATATCATGTTGGTTGTTTAAATTTAAATCAATTTCTAGTTAATTAGGTTGCACCGGGCGTTTTTAACCTGATGAGCATTAAATTGTTAGCTTCACAATTTCATTTCTGTCTATATTGATGCTGGAAACCCATGTCAAAGGATTATTTTTTAGCTGATGGGTAGAATTGAGGAGTAAAACGTTCTGTGCATTGAACCTATACACTCAATGTAGCTTGATGAATGCACTTTTACCATTATCTGGCTAATATCGGACAGATATACAGTTGATATGTTGTATCTTTTCGTTTTGAACTGCACAGTTCACAAATGTGGAGTGAGTTTAGAACTCAGGGTTGGAGTGCGGGATACAAATAGGGGTGGATATGAACTAATAATAAACAAACGTTTCTTTAGTTATTCATCAAAGTATTCGGTCATTTAAAAATAAACGAATAAATTCTAGTATTCGCTTCATAAACAAATAGAATTTAACAAGATTTATATTCGATTTGTTTGATAATTAAATATTCCTTTATACTTTGATTTTGATCATAAAAATTTAACCTATTACAAATATACTAATCTTATGGACTTGTGCTTGAGATGTATATCATCCAGTATATATAAAGTCAACAAGATATCTATCATAAAAGGATTTTTTTTAATTATTTAAGAATATGATTAAGGTCTTCTAGTTTTAACTTATGTTAAATTTAAGTTTTATCAAGACAAGCATGAGCGTCTTTAGTTGTAGTAGAGTATCTGCCGGAAATTGAAATAACTAATATTAGCTAAGAATAAAAGTACAATAAAGAAGAGGGTTTAAATCCTAAAATAAATTTCACATAATTAATTTATATTTATGTAAAATCTATAAATAGATTTAAGGCTAAAATGATTCCCTCGTAATGAATCATAATTAGATTAAATTTTCTAATTAAGGTGTATTTTTATATAAAATAGCCTCATACAAGATATTGTCGTTTTTGTCATTTATTCCCATACTAGATAAGTAGATTAAGAAGGGAAAAAATAACATTTAGGTGTAAAATAGTGGCAAAAGGCCCATTCGAACCAAAGATTTCTAGGTTAGGAGTTAAATGATCAACTAGCTGAGCTAACAGAGTATTCGCGAATGGGTAACGAATACACAAGAATTAACTCAAATCAAATTTGAACGCCAATTTAAAATTAGACAAAATAGATAGAATTTTGAATTCAAATACTATGGTATTCGAGTTTATTCGGTCGTTTTCTACCCCTAGATGCAAAGAATGAAAATGAAAGAAAGACGGTAATTGTTATTTGACTTTGAATTCAAGACTCATCAAACTTCACTGTTCCACCAACCCAAAACACTATTTCACAAACACTTTTGAAGGCTATAAATAGAGGAGAGTGGTGAAGGGTTAGAGCATCAAACAAAAATTCAAAATAGAGAGAAGAAAGAGAGATTTGAAGAGAAAAGAAAAAAGAAAAAAGAGAGTTTTTTTAGTGTTCTCTTCTTTGTGTGAGTTTGGTGAGACATTAGAGTGATCTGCATTTGTAATCTTCTCTTTTGTGATTAGTGAAGTTTTCTGTTGTTCTCACTCGTGGACGTAGGTCATACTGACCGAATCATGTTAAATTATTGTGTGTTGTTCTCTTTGTCTTCACTATGTTTATTTAGTGTTGTTATTCTTCACTCTTGTATAGACATCTTCTGTGTCTGTGAAACCCCTCGCTGTAACAAACTGGTATCCGAACCTGGCTTAGAGTGTGTATCTTCTTATCGTATGTTCTGTGACTGTCACTAAAAGTAGATCATTCACATCAAAAAATAAGTTAGATTATCATTTACTCTTTTAAAGGCACCGGACACTATTCATAAGTATGATACTATTTATAAGTACTATTACTATTCACAAGTATGGTTACTGTTTACAATTACAGTTACTGTTCTAGTGGGCTTCTAGATATCTTCTGTAAAATATAAAGTGGAGAAATTCGATGGGAGAAACAAGTTTAGTTTGTGGAGAGTAAAAATGAGGGCTCTCCTAGTACAACAGGACTATTCAATGTCTAATCCGGAAAGGATAAGTTGTCAGAATCTATACCCGATGATGAGAAAGAAGAGCTGTAGATGAAGGCACATAGTGTCATACACCTCTGTTTGGCCGATGAGGTCCTGCGGGAGGTTGCTCATAAAGATACCGTCGTCGGCTTGTGGCTAAAGTTGGAGAGCTTGTACATGACGAAATCTCTAACAAACAAGCTCTAGTTGAAGCAACGCCTCTTCACCCTTCACATGAAGGAAGGTGTGCAGATTAAAGACCATTTAGATGAACTTAATACTATTCTTATAGATTTAAAGAATATTGATGTTAAAATTTATGAAGAAGATCAAGCTCTTATTTTGTTATGTTCATTACCTCCTTGTAGGCGTCAAAAAATACCTATAGGTATCCACACATAGCTCGAGACGGAGAGAATGTGATGAACACCATAATCTAAATCAAAGAGGATTATCTAACACCGACCAGCGAATCAACGAACTATTGGTGACGTGGCCCGCACGCTCACCGGCCATCAAAACAGCGTACAGATCAATAAAACGATAAAATACGCGTAACGACATAACAAGTCAAAATCCGAAAGACTAAGAAAGTCGCTGGCGGCCGAGTCGCATCAAAACGGCTCGGCCGAACCAGTGGTTCGGCCCATAGCCAGGTCACCAAGGGTGGCTCGGCGGCCGAGCCACCAATTAGCTGGCTAGGCCATGGCCGAAGCCACCATTTGGTGTCTAGGCCAGCCCGAGCCACATTGGTGGATAGGCATGGCCGAGCCACCATTTGGTGGATAGGCCAGGTCGAGCCACCATTTGGTGGCTAGGCAAGGCCGAACCACCGGGTGAGCTTCGGCCAGATTTGATCTAAAAGTTTGTTTTTTCGGCTTTTACGGATTCTCTCGGGATTTGTTGGTTCCTGAACATCCCAACTGATCTGATATTATGGTTAATCAGTTCTTAACTGAATATAAGGAGGAATCCCTCGTTCTTATCCAAATACCCGCTCCCGAAGCTTATAAATAGGAGCTCGGGTGCTCATTTCTCAAGGGGGGACATCAATAGGGCGAGGTGCTGCCGGTTTCTCGAGTGCATAGCCACGAATTTCAAGAGGGTTAGCTAGATCTCGACGATCTCCTGTGCATGAAGAGTGGAGTTCGAGAAATCTAAGACCTGTCTCCTATTCCTCCGGATTTAAGCTTGGTCTTAAATCTCGAGAAGAGCCGTGATCTCGCTTGGTCGAGATCATTGCTGCAGCGATTACTTTCTTCGTGAAGTAAGAGCTTTGATCACCAATCTGTCAACCGGATCTGATCCGTGGCGATCCACGGATATTAACATCCCCGGTACAGGCAAAGAACCCACGCAAGCAGCGGGTGATAAACGTCCGTTGGGCTGTTTTACAAGAGTTGTAATCTTTATTTTCATTGTATAAAGGAAATCTTATAAAAAGATCAACTTTCTTTCTTTTTTTGAACTTATTGTAATGACTGAAATTGTAATGAGTTCGTCACCAATAAAAATATCAACTTTTGACCCAAACAAGCTGGCGACCACAGTGGGAGCCAACAGCTTCGCTGCCGAAGTTGTTGTGCCGCAACCAAAGATCTGCATCCCGGTTAAAGAAGTGGTTGAATACGAGTTCGACCAACTGAAGTTTGAGGAGTATATGTCATCCTCCTCCTCCAGATCCTCCGCCCCTCGTAAGCACAGGAAGATTAAGACCCCCGTTGCTGTGGTAGTTGGATCTCGCAATGCACTTCCAGTCTCCAATGAAGTCGGACTTGCAGATCTGAACTCCTCCTCAATCAAGGAGTTGAGTACCGAAGTTATGCCAACCCTATCAAAGATGGCGCGCCAAAGGCAGCGCCAACGACTTGCGCGCCGATTTACTAAGGCTTTGGAGCCTGTTGATGGGATCGACTTTCGATGAAAATTTTGTTAATAGCATGTTATACAGTAGAGATACACTTTCTTTGGAGGATGTCAAATCAACCTTACATTCAAAAGAGTTAAGGCAGAAAGTATCTGTCATAGGAGGAGAAGATCAAGCTGAAGGTTTGTTCGCTTGTGGTCATCCTGAAAAGGGTGTTGGTGGTAGAGAAAAATCTAGAAATATGTCTAGATCAAAGTCCAGGCCAAAAAAAATGTTAAATGTTATTACTGTCACAAGTATGAGCATATAAAACCTAATTGTCCAGCGCTCAAAGCAAAGAATAATTCATAGTCGAAGTCTTGGGAGGTGAAACCTTTAGTTGCTACTATAACTGAAGAGTCTTCTAGTTTACATGAAGTTCTTTCAGTTAGTGTTAATACTCATTCACAAGATAAGTGGATTTTTGATTCAGGTTATTCCTACCATTTGTATCCGCATAGGGATTAGTTTGTCACATATCAGTCTATCGATGGTGGAAATGTATTATTGGAAAATAACATATCTTGTAAGATTGTTGGTATCGGATCAATTAAGATTAGAACCCATGATTGTATTATTAGAACATTAAGCAATGTCTGACATATACCAGAGTTAAAAAAGAACCTCATTTCTTTAGGCACCCTTGACTCAAATGATTTTAAGTTTTCGGTTGAAGGTGGAGCTTTGAGAGTTAGTAAAGGCTCTCTTATTGTGAGGAAAGGAAAGAAGGTAAATACTCTCCATATCTTTGAAGGCAGCACAGTGATAGGTGTTGCAACAGTATTATCCTCAGAGGATTTAGACTCTGATATTACGCGTTTATGGCATATGCGGTTAGGGCATATGAGTGAGAAAGGACTAGATATATTAAGCAAACAAGGTCTGCTTTGTGGTCAGAAAACTAGTAAGCTAGATTTTTGTGAGTATTGTATTTTCGGCAAACACCATAGAGTCTCCTTTAGTACTAATGTCCACAAAACTAATGGTACTTTAGATTATACCCATT